ATATATATCTATTATCCATCCATCCTTCCCATCATCTCTATCTATCTATCATTCATCCAATGATCTACCTACCTACCTACCTATCTACCTATTATCCATACAATCATCTATCTATCTATCTATCTATCTATCTATCTATCTATCTATCTATCTATCTATCTATCTAATCATTCATCCATCCATCCCATCATCTCTATCTATCATCCATCCAATCATCTACCTACCTACCTACCTATTATCCATCCAATCATCTATTATCTATCTAACTATCTATCATCCATCCATCCATCCCATCATCTATCTCTATCTATCTATCTATCTATCTATCTATCTATCTATCTATCATCCATCCATCCATCCATCCATCCATCCATCCATCCATGCATCCATCCATCCATGCATCCCATCATCTCTATCTATCTATCATCCATCCAATCATCTACCTACCTACCTACCTACCTACCTACCATCCATCCATCCATCCATCCATCCATCCATCCAATTATCTATCTATTTAATAACGAAGTTTGGAAGTCGTTTTTGCGCATGCGCAAATCGTGTCCGCCATTTTAACAAATCAATTCGTTATCACCTTAACGAATCGACCTCGCATCAATAACGAAGTTTCGGAAGTGATTTGCGCATGCGCGGGGGGTCCACCATCTTAACGAATCGAATTGAACCTGCTATAAACCAAATAATCAGTAGTGAAGCATGGGGTGAAACTATGGAGGTGGATTGCGTCATGGAGGAGGGAGGGTGTTCCATCAGCCGGGGAGCCCCCATAGAAGTCGTGGTGGGGAGGGGGAGATACGGGAAAGGGAGACCTTTAATTTGGCCTAGGGATCGTGGAACAACAGTAGTAATTCCAAATCGGTCTCCTGATGTGGTAAATTGGTGTAACCAGGATGGCGGTCCCTCCGGATTGAAGGTGGTGCTGTTGAACGCCAGATCTGTCAACGGTAAAACAGCTTTCATCCAGGATTTAATCCTGGATGAACGGGCAGATCTGGCGTGCATCACGGAGACCTGGCTGGATGAAGCTGGAGGTGTGAATTTGACCCAGCTTTGCCTGCCAGGTTTCTCTGTGCAGCACCAACCGAGATCCGGAGGGCGGGGAGGCGGGGTTGCAGTGGTCTATAGAGATTCCATCCCTCTGACCAGGGGCCCCATCCCGCAGTCTACAAATTTTGAATGTGTCCACCTGAGAGTGGGTGACCGGGACAGAATAGGGATTCTGTTAGTGTACCGTCCACCTCGCTGCACTACAGTCTCCCTGCCTGAGCTAGCCGGGGTAGTCTCGACTTGGCATTGGAGTCCCAACGGCTGCTTGTGCTGGGGGACTTCAATGTTCACGCCGAGACCACTCTGTCTGGAGCGGCTCAGGACTTCATGTCTGCCATGGCAACCATGGGGCTGTCCCAACAGGTAACTGGCCCCACTCACAGTGCAGGACACACATTGGACTTGGTTTTCTGCCAGGGATGGGAGGAAGGTGGCGGTGTTGAGGAGTTGTCCATCTCTCCGTTGCCATGGACCGACCACCACCTGGTCAGCTTTAGACTCACTGCACCCCCCAACCTCCGCAGAGGTGGAGGACCCATTAAGTTGGTCCGCCCCAGGAGGCTTATGGATCTGGATGGATTCCTGACGGCTCTTGGGGAATTTCCCGCCACCTCGGTTGGTGATCCTGTTGATGCCCTGGTCGCTCTCTGGAATGGGGAGATGGCTAGGGCAATAGACACGATCGCTCCAACGTCCCCTCTCAAGTAGCCGAGCTAAACCAGCTCCTTGGTTCACTGAGGAGCTGGCAGTGATGAAGCGAAGGAAGAGGGAACTAGAGAGCGTGTGGCGTTCGGAGCCGAGCGAGTCAAACCGAACACGGTTTGTGTCCTTTTTAAGGGCATATGCCGCGGCAATAAAAGCCGCAAAGAAAACTTTCTTTGCGGCCACTATTGCGTCTGCAAGGAACCGTCCGGCTGAACTGTTCCGAGTTGTCAGAGGCCTTTTAAATCCCACCACGCAGGATGGGAGCCCTGATGACTCGGCAGCTCGCTGTGAAGCCTTTGCTCAGTTCTTTGCAGACAAAGTCACTTTGATCGCTCTGGTCTGGATACCATATTAACAGCAGTCTCTGAGGATGTAACACGAGCATCTGCTTGTCCAGTTTTGATGGATTCATTTCAATTGGTTCAATCCGAGGATGTGGACAAGATGCTTGGAGGAATGAGAGCTACCACATGCATCCTAGACCCCTGCCCATCCTGGCTTCTAAAGGAGGCCAGAGGGGGATTGGCCGAGTGGGTGAGGTGGTGGTTAATGCCTCCCTTCGGAAAGGCAAAATTCCAGCGAGCTTAAAACAAACTGTAATAAAACCGCTGTTGAAAAAACCATCACTGGACCCCAATCAATTCGTCAACTATCGGCCTGTTTCCAATCTCCCCTTTTGGGCAAAGTCCTGGAACGTGTGGTGGCCTCACAACTCCAGGCATTCTTGGTAGACACGGATTATCTGGATCCGGCACAGTCTGGCTTTAGGCCGGGACATGGTACCGAGACAGCCTTGGTCGCCTTAGTCGATGATCTGTGCCGGGAGCTCGACAGGGGGAGTGTGTCCCTGTTGGTGCTGCTGGCCTTTGATACCGTCGACCACGGTATCCTTCTGGGACGCCTCGCGGGGATGGGTCTTGGAGGTACTGTTCTGCAGTGGCTCCGCTCATTCCTCGAGGGTCGGTCTCAGAAGGTGTTACTGGGAGACTCCTGTTCAACCCCACAACCTTTGTCTTGTGGGGTTCCTCAGGGTTCAATACTGTCTCCCATGTTGTTTAACATCTACATGAAGCCGCTGGGAGAGATCATCCGGAGTTTCGGAGTGCGGTGTCATCTGTACGCGGATGATGTCCAACTCTGTCACTCCTTTCCACCTGCTACTAAGGAGGCTGTCGAGGTCCTGAACCGGTGCTTGGCCGCTGTGACGGTCTGGATGAGGGCGAACAAATTGAAACTGAATCCAGACAAGACAGAGGTCCTCCTGGTCAGTCGTAAGGCCGAACAGGGTATAGGGTTACAGCCTGTGTTGGATGGGTTCGCAGCTTGGGTGTGATCCTGGACTCATCGCTGAGCCTGGAACCCCAGGTTTCGGCGGTGACCAGGGGAGCATTCGCACAGTTAAAACTCGTGCGCCAACTGCGCCCATACCTTGGGAAGTCTGACTTGGCCACGGTAGTCCACGCTCTGGTTACATCCCGTTTAGACTACTGCAACGCTCTCTACGTGGGGCTGCCCTTGAAGACGGCTCAGAAGCTCCAATTAGTCCAACGTTCGGCAGCCATGATACTAACAGGAGCGGAGCGCAGGGAGCATACGAACCCCCTGTTGCGCCAACTCCACTGGCTGCCGATTTGCTACCGGGCTCAAATCAAAGTGCTGGCATTGGCCTTTAAAGCCCTAAACGGTTCTGGCCCAACATATCTATCCGAACGTATCTCGGCCTATCAGCCCACCAGGACCCTAAGATCTTCTGGGGAGGCCCTGCTCTCTATCCCGCCTGCTTCACAGGTGCGGCTGGCGGGGACGAGAGACAGGGCCTTTTCTGTGGTGGCCCCTCGGCTTTGGAATGCCCTCCCCATAGAGATAAGATCAGCCCCCTCGCTGATGGTGTTCCGGAAAAGATTAAAAACCTGGATGTTTGAACAAGCATTTGGTTAATCAGTGCAATGAATGTGACGTTATAGGAATGGAAAATGGACGACGAATTTGGATTACGACTCCAGTGATGAGATGCATAGTGTTGTTATTGTTGTGTTAATTTTGTATTGTGCTTTTACGGTTTTAAATTGTATATTGTTGTTTGATTATCCTGTTGTAAACCGCGTTGAGTCGCCAGTTAGGCTGAGAAACAGCGGTATACAAGTAAAGTAATAATAATAATAATAATAATAATAATAATAATAATAATAATAATACATAGACAAGGAATAGGAATACAAGATAGATAAATAGATAGATAGATAGATAGATAGATAGATAGATAGATAGACGTAGAGATGGATGGATGAATGGATGGATGGATAGATAGATAATCATGAAAAAAATTCACAAAAATAATCATGAAAATAACAAAACATATTCACAAAAATCATCAAAATATTACAAAATCATAAAAATATTCACAAAATATTCATAAAATATTCACAATAATAATAAAAATATTCACAAAAATATTCACAAAAAACATGAAAAATATTCACAAAAATATTCACAAAAGTCATCATGAAAATAATCAAAATATTCACAAAATAATCATGAAAAATATCCACAAAAATAATCATGAAAAAATCATCTAAATATTACAAAGACATAAAAATATTCACAAAATATTCATAAAAATGATCTAAAATTATTCATAAAATTCATCAAAATATTCACAAAATTATTCATAAAATATTTACAAAAATAATCATGAAAATATTCACAAAAATAATCATAAAATAATCAAAAATATTCCAAAAATATTCATAAAATATTCACAATAATAATAAGGAAAATATTCACAATAATAATATTCATAAAATATTCATGAAATAATCAAAAAATATTCATAAAATATTCATGAAATAATCAAAAAATATTCATAAAATATTCATGAAATAATCAAAAAATATTCACAAAATTCATTAAAAATATTCACAAAAATAATCATGAAAAATATCAACAAAAATAACGATAAAAATAATCAAAAATATTCACAAAAGTAATCATGAAATAATAAAAAATATTCCCAAAATATTCATAAAATATTCACAAAAATATTCCCAAAATATTCATAAAATATTCACAAAAATATTCACAATAATAATAATATTCACAAAATATTCATGAAATAATCATGAAAAAATATTCACAAAAATATTTACAAAAGTCACCATAAAAATAATAAAAATATTCACAAAATAATCATGAAATATTCCTAATATTCTATGCTGTTGCCTTTGTTTCAGATGGCCTGGAGACGGCGACGCTGGTGGGCATCATCGTGGGCATCATCGCGGCCATCGGCGTGGCCACGGCGGTCATCATAGCGGTGGTCAAGAGGGCGTCCGGCCAATACTCCTAAGCCCTTCGGCGCCCGAGACGGATGAGGTCAGTCTTCACGGTTTCCTTCCCGGCGAAATATGAGCCTCGTCCAGATTTCTCAAGTTGCCGAATGGACGGACGCAAGGACGGGACAGGGTCAAAGGGATCGCCCGCTCCCCGTTCCATGCTTTCACATGTTTCATATTCCCAGAAATATGGAAGGAATATTTCCGAGACTCTCAGTTAACCAGAACTCTCAAGCAACCATAAAATTGTGCAGAAATGACATACTATTTGGATGACACAAACTTTTTGTGAATATACCAGCGGCACCCTGATATATTCACAAAAATAATAATTAAAAATAATATTCACAAAATAATCATAAAATAATCAAAAATATTCACAAAAATATTCATAAAAAATCACAAAAATAATCGTGAAAAATAATATTCACAAAATAATCATGAAAATATTCACAAAAAATAATCATGAAAAATAATATTCACAAAAATCATCAGATATTCCCAGTAATCATCATGAAAATATCCACCAAAAAATGAAAAATAATATTTATCACCAAATCTTCACAATTATTATAATAAAAATATTCACAAAAGAATCATGAAAAAATATTCACAAAATATCCATAAAATATTCACAAAAATAATCATTAAAAATAATATTCACAAAAATTATCAAATATTCACAAAAATAATCATTAAAATAATATTCACAAAAATAATCATGAAAATAATATTCACAAAAATCACCAAATATTCACAGTTATTATAATAAAAATATTACCAAAATAATCATGAAAAAATATTCACAAAAATCATCATTAAAAATAATATTCACAAAAATCACCAAATATTCACAATCATTATAATAAAAATATTCATAAAATAATCATGTAAAAATATTCACAAAAATATCTATAAAATATTCACAAAAAAATCATGAAAATATATTCGCAAAAATCATCATTAAAAATAATATTCACAAAAATATTCAGAAACTATTCACAAAATAATCATGAAAATATTCACAAAATAATCATGAAAAAATGTTCACAAAAATCATCATTAAAAATAATATTCACAAAAATCACCAAATATTCACAATTATAATAAAAATATTCACAAAATAATCATGAAAAAATATTCAGAAAAATATCCATAAGATATTAACAAAAATAATCAGGAAAATATATTCGCAAAAATAATCATTAAAATAATATTCACAAAAATCACCAAATATTCACAATAATTATAATAAAAATATTCAGAAAAATATCCATAAAATATTCACAAAAATAATCATGAAAATATATTCGCAAAAATAACCATGAAAGATAATATTGACAAAAATCACCAAATATTCACAAAAATAATCAGGAAAATATATTCACAAAAATAATCATTAAAAATAATATTCACAAAAAATCGCCAAATATTCACAATTATTATAATAAAAATATTCACAAAATAATCTTAAAATAAAGATATTCACAAAACCCATCAAAATATTCACAAAAATATGCATAAAATATTCACAAAAATAATCATGAAAATGTATTCACAAAAATAATCATTAAAAATAATATTCACAAAAATCACCAAAAATATTCACAAAAATATCCATAAAATATTCACAAAAAATCTAAAATAAAAATATTCACAATAACCATCAAAAATATTCCAAAAATATTCAGAAAATATTCACAAAAATAATCAAAAAAATTCACAAAAATTATCACAAAATATCCATAAAATAATCATGAAAATATATTCACAAAAATAATCATTAAAAATAATAGTCACAAAAATCACCAAATATTCACAATTATTATAATAAAAATATTCACAAAATAACCATGAAAAAATATTCACAGAATATCCATAAAATATTCACAAAAATAATCTAAAATAATCAAAAATATTCACCAAAACCATCAAAAATATTCCAAAAATATTCATAAAATATTCACAAAAAATAATCATGAAAATATTCCCAGTAATCATCATGAAAAAATTCACAAAAATAATCATGAAAAAATATTCACAAAATAATAAAATAATCAAAAATATTAACAAAAACCATCAAAAAATATTCCAAAAATATTCACAAAATATTCACAAAAACAATCATGACAAATATTCCCAGTCATAATCATGAAAATATTCAGGGAGTTTGGAAACCCCAAGAGCCATGAGTGCTTGGTTCATAGAAAGGTGGCTTTTCTTCATATTTCCTTTTATAGACATATATACATATAGGGAATGAGGAACGGGGCAAGGGAGCATGCACAGAGTTCATAGGAAAAAGAGGAATAATGGAGGGTCTAAGGGGAAGTCACGTCACCCCCCCAAAAAAAGTCTATAAAAGTTCCTAAAGTTTGGCAAGAGTTTATAAAAGTTCCTATAAGAGTTCATGTGGGAGGGTGCATGGAAGTTCAGGAAGAGAGATCGGGGATTATGGGATCATTCCAGCCTGGTGTCCTTGGCAAAACTATGAATTCCCTGATTTGAGCTATCTTTTACAGTCTGGGGGAGGCGGGGGTCACCTCCGATCACAAGTTCTCTCTGCATATGTGTGAACTACAACTCCCATATGCCAAGGGCAGTCAACCCCAAATCCCGCCAGTATTCACAGTTGGCCATGTTGGGTCTGTGTGCCAAGTTTGGTCCAGATCCAACATTGGCTCAGTGCTCTCTAGATGCAGGTGAACTATAACTCCCAAAATCAAGGTCAACCCCCACAATCCCCTGCTGTATGTGTAATGGGTTTGTGCATTTCTTCCAACAGGCCCGAAACAGGGAAAAGCTGCCAGGAAAAGCAATTGAGATCCTCTGTTTCCGAGTGACTTTTCTCGTTGGCTAAGACGGTCTGTGGAAACGGAGCTGAGCCCTTGAGATGCCGAGAATGGAGTCCGAACATGGGATTTTCCTCACTTGCAATGGATTATTATTACTACTATTACTATTGTTATCGTTATGATTAAGTGGTGCCATGAGTACCTTAGGATATAAATGCCAAATCAAAGGACAACAAGAAAAGCTCTTCAGCTCGGAGTTAAGTCTACGGGTAACTTATTGCCTTCGGTGACATTTCGTTGAACAACCACATTGCATTGCTGCACTTGGAAGGACTACGCATCTCCGTTTTAAGAGGAAACCATTACGTCCAGTTGGAAGACAGGGAGAGGAATGGATATATCCTTATGTTGGCAACTTGTCTATGGTCATTAAACATGCATTTCCACTTTCTCCCGTAATAATTTCAGGTCCGAAACTATTGTGCCGCAATCTGTTCCTGGTCTTGTTTTTGTCGAGAGAATGGAGCTTCTCCATCTTCTGCTTTTACACACACACACACATATCTCCAGAGTCTGCTACAGCCCAAAGTGTGTCTACACAGTAGAATTAATCCAGTTTAACACTAATTTCTTGAAGTGACTGGACTGACCTTGAAGGAGCTGGGGGTGGTGACGGCTGACAGGGAGCTCTGGCGTGGGCTGTTCCATGAGGTCACAAAGAGTCGGAGACGACTGAACGAAGGAACAACAACAACAACACTAATTTCAGGTCTGAAACTATTGTGCCGCAATCTGTTCCTGGTCTTGTTTTTGTCGAGAGAATGGAGCTTCTCCATCCTCCACTTTCCAATTATGGATTATATTTGATTTCTATTCGGTCATGTAATCTATCTATCTCTCTCTCTCTCTCTCTCTCTCTCTCTCTCTCTCTATATATATATATATATATATATATATATATATATATATATATATATCTCCAGAGTCCCCTACAACCCGAAGTGTGTCTACACTGTAGAATTAATCCACTTTAACACCAATTTCAGGTCCGAAACTATTGTGTCGCAATCTGTTCCTGGTCTTGTTTTTGTCGAGAGAATGGAGCTTCTCCATCTTCTGCTTTTCAATTATGGATTATTTGCTTTCTATTTGATCTCTCTCTCTCTCTCTTTCTCTCTCTCCCCCCCCTCTCTATACACACACACACACACACACACATCTCCAGAGTCCCCTACAGCCCGAAGTGTATCTACACTGTAGAATTAATCCAGTTTAACACCAATTTCAGGTCCGAAACTATTGTGCCGCAATCTGTTCCTGGTCTTGTTTTTGTCGAGAGAATGGAGCTTCTCCTTCTTCTGCTTTCCAATTATGGATTATGTGCTTTCTATTTGATCTCTCTCTCTATACACACACACACACACACACACACACACATATCTCCAGAGTCCGCTACAGCCCGAAGTGTATCGACACTGTACAATTAATCCAGTTTAACACCAATTTCAGGTCTGAAACTATTGTGCCGCAATCTGTTCGTGGTCTTGTTTTTGTCGAGAGAATGGAGCTTCTCCATCTTCTGCTTTTACACCCACACACACACATATCTCCAGAGTCCCCTACAGCCTGAAGTGTGTCTACACTGTAGAATTAATCCAGTTCAACACCAATTTCAGGTCCCAAACTATTGTGCTGCAATCTGTTCCTGGTCTTGTTTTTGTTGAGGGAATGGAGCTTCTCCATCTTCTGGACTATTTACTTTCTATTTGATCTCTCTCTCTACACACACACACACACACATCTCCAAAGCAGAAGCATGAAACAGCTAGCAGATAGCCATGTTGGAACTGACAGCTAAGAATTGCCCGAGGAAGCCCTAAATACATTTTGCACATCAAAACAATCTAGTTTCCCACAATCTGCTTTCCCACTGCTCCCTTGACCTGTCGCTGACCTAACTTGGCTGTGATCCGACAGTTCCGTCTCACGGTTTCATTATCCCTTTGAAGAAGCACCTGGCCCTCCTCCTTATCAGCTGCATTCCTGTCCTGTGAGAACTGCTTCTCCATCTCGACTGCAGGCTGAGAAAACTGTGAAAACTGAAAACCACCAGACTCAGGCTGCTCAGGGGCCTGTTGAACCACAACACTGGTCTTGTTTTTGTTGAGGCAATGGAGCTTCGCCATCTTCTGCTTTCCAATTATGGATTATTTGCTTTCTATTTGATCTCTCTCTCTCTCTCTCTTTCTTTCTCTCTCTCTCTCTCTACACACACACACACATCTCCAGAGTCCCCTACAGCCTGAAGTGTATCTACACTGTAGAATTAATCCAGTTTAATACTTATTTCCGGTCTGAAACTATTGTGCCGCAATCTGTTCCTGGTCTTGTTTTTGTCGAGAGAATGGAGCTTCTCCATCTTCTGCTTTTCAATTATGGATTATTTGCTTTCTATTTGATATCTCTCTCTCTCTCTCTCTCTACACACACACACGTCTCCAGAGTCCCCTACAGCTCGAAGTGTGTCTACAATGTAGAATTAATCCAGTTCAACACCAATTTCAGGTCTGAAACTATTGTGCTGCAATCTGTTCCCGGTCTTGTTTTTGTTGAGAGAATGGAGCTTCTCCATCTTCTGCTTTTACACACACACACAAACACATATATCTCCAGAGTCCCCTACAAGCCAAAGTGTGTCTACACTGTAGAATTAATCTAGTTTAACACTAATTTCAGGTCTGAAAGTATTGTGCCGCAATCTGTTCCTGGTCTTGTTTTTGTCGAGGGAATGGAGCTTCTCCATCTTCTGCTGTTCAATTATGGATTATATTTGATTTCTATTTGATCTCTCTCTCTATATACACACACACACACACACATATATATCTCCAGAGTCCCCTACAGCCCGAAGTGTATCTACACTGTAGAATTAATCCAGTTTAACACTAATTTCAGGTCCGAAACTATTGTGCCGCAATCTGTTCCTGGTCTTGTTTTTGTCGAGAGAATGGAGCTTCTCCATCTTCTGCTTTCCAATTATGGATTCTATTTGATTTCTATTCGATGTCATGTAATCTATCTATTATATATCTCCAGAGTCCCCTACAGCCCGAAGTGTATCTACACTGTAGAATTAATCCAGTTTAACACTAATTTCAGGTCCGAAACTATTGTGCCGCAATCTGTTCCTGGTCTTGTTTTTGTCGAGAGAATGGAGCTTCTCCATCTTCTGCTTTCCAATTATGGATTATTTACTTTCTATTTAATCTCTCTCTCTCTCTCTCTCTCTCTCTATATATATATATATATATATATACGCAAACACACACACACATAATCTCCAGACTCCCTTACAGCCTGAAGTGTATCTACACTATAGAATTAATCCCGTTTAACACCAATTTCAGGCCTGAAACTATTGTGCCGCAATCTGTTCCTGGACTTGTTTTTGTAGAGAGAATGGAGCTTCTCCATCTTCCGCTTTTCAATTATGGGTTATTTGCTTTCTATTTGATCTCTCTCTCTATACACACACACACACACACACATCTTCAGAGTCCCCTACAGCCCGAAGTGTGTCTACACTGTAGAATTAATCCAATTATGGGTTATTTGCTTTCTATTTGATCTCTCTCTCTACACACACACACACACACACACACACACACACATCTCCAGAGTCCCCTACAGCCTGAAGTGTATCTACACTGTAGAATTAATCTAGTTCAACACCAATTTCAGGTCCCAAACTATTGTGCTGCAATCTGTTCCTGGTCTTGTTTTTGTTGAGAGAATGGAGCTTCTCCATCTTCTGCTTTTCAATTATGGATTATTTGCTTTCTATTTGATCTCTCTCTCTCTCTCTCTATATATATATATATATACACACACACCTCCAAATTCCCCTACAGCCCAAAATGTGTCTACACTGTAGAATTAATCCAGTTTAACACTTATTTCAGGTCTGAAATTATAGTGCCACAATCTGTTCCTAGTCTTGTTTTTGTCAAGAAAATGGAGCTTCTCCATCTTCTGCTTTTACACACACACACAAACACATATATCTCCAGAGTCCCCTACAAGCCAAAGTGTGTCTACACTGTACAATTAATCCAGTTTAACACCAATTTCAGGTCTGAAACTATTGTGCCGCAATCTGTTCCTGGTCTTGTTTTTGTCGAGAGAATGGAGCTTCTCCATCTTCTGCTTTTCAATTATGGATTATTTGCTTTCTATTTGATCTCTCTCTATATATATACACACACACACACACACACATCTCCAGAGTCCCCTACAGCCCGAAGTGTATCTACACTGTAGAATTAATCCAATTCAACACCAATTTCCGGTCTGAAACTATTGTGCCGCAATCTGTTCCTGGTCTTGTTTTTGTTGCGAGAATGGAGCTTCTCCATCTTCTGCTTTTCAATTATGGATTATTTGCTTTCTATTTGATCTCTATACACACACACACACACACACACACACACACACACATCTCCAGAGTCCCCTACAGCCTGAAGTGCATCTACACTGTAGAATTAATCCAGTTCAACACCAATTTCAGGTCCGAAACTATTGTGTCGCAATCTGTTCCTGGTCTTGTTTTTGTCGAGAGAATGGAGCTTCTCCATCTTCTGCTTTTCAATTATGGATTACTTGCTTTCTATTTGATCTCTCTCTCTTTCTCTCTCTCTATACACACACACACACACATCTCCAGAGTCCCCTACAGCCCGAAGTGTATCTACACTGTAGAATTAATCCAGTTTAACACTAATTTCAGGTCCGAAACTATTGTGCCGCAATCTGTTCCTGATCTTGTTTTTGTCGAGGGAATGGAGCTTCTCCATCTTCTGCTTTCCAATTATGGATTATTTGCTTTCTATTTGATCTCTCTCTACACACACACACACACACACACACACACACACACACACATATATATCTCCAGAGTCCCATAAAGCCTGAAGTATATCTACACTGTAGAATTAATCCAGTTTAACACCAATTTCAGGTCCGAAACTATTGTGCCGCAATCTGTTCCTGGTCTTGTTTTTGTCGAGAGAATGGAGCTTCTCCATCTTCTGCTTTCCTTTCTTTTCTACCTACCTTTCCTTCCTTCTCTTTACTTCCATTTATTTTTTACACTTCATTAAATATGACTTCTTTATGTAATTATTCTAATTAATCAATATTTCTTTCTTTCCTTCCTACATAACATAAATCACTTATTATTCACTACCTCATTCATTATAATTTAGTAATTGGATCTTTAATTCTTATTTTACATTTTAATTTAATTAATTATTAATTAAATTAATTACTTACTTACTTTAATTTTTAATTGATTAAGTATTTACAATTATTTATTTCCTTCCCAATAGTAAATCTTTCTTTCCTTCCTTCTTTCCTTCCTTCTTTCCCTTCTTTTCTTCCTTCTTTCCTACT